TATATATACACAGAATCAAAGTGGCGGGGCGGTGCACCTTTGCGACACGCAAGAAAGTTGAGAACTCCAGAAAAGTCTCACGGCAATCTGGAGACATCCAGGAGACTACCTCATGAATACTGTTCGCCAGCTATTCACAGCCCAGTGAGATCGGGCCTTTAATGTCACCGCACTTCTGTTTTCACACTAAAGACCAAYGAGCCAACCTGCTCAGGTCTTTATTTGACCACTCTTTCTTTTGCTTTTAAACCCTCTCGTAGTCTTTTGTCATTTTGATGATACTCTTTTGTCTGCTGAAGACCTCAGGTGGCCATCTGGATTATCCCGCTGCAGCGCGTTCTTGCTSGTGTAGTAATTCCCACAAGAATGTCTCACTCTCTCCTCTACACTCCACATGAATAAGGTATTTTACAAGGGGGGTGGGAGAAAAGTGTCAAAGGATAATTTTATAGATGAGTGCACACCAACATGATCCGATAAGAAGTGGAAGATTTGGAAATTGAATATATCAGTGATTTTTTTTTTTGAAACAAGATTTGTTTGATTAAATGATTTTTGGAACATAAAATTGATTGTAATTATTTTTTATGTTTTTAGTATTTGCATATTTTGGACTAATCTTTTTTTTTTTACAGAAACATACGTGTTTAAAAAAAACATATGAAGCATATTTAATGTTAAGCTAAAAGTTTTTGATTGCAAAACTGGTTCCAGTCATGTTTTTGTTCACTTTTTTGTTTGGAATTAATAAAGTATTTTTGTATAGAATATAACTGAATTACTTGTATTGTTGCTTCTTGTTTTATTTGTTGACAACAAAAAATAAATGAGCTTTTGACTGATGTAAACTTGTAATGTTTTTTTTTATCATAATGTTTTATTTTCTGGTAAAGGAAAAAAAGGCACAAATAGAAGAATTTCCAAACTTCATTATTAAGAAAATTCAACCTACTCCTGTTCAAACAGGAAATTATACGTGTTTGTTTGATTTTATTTATAATAGCAAGCAATAGAGTTTGATAAACATGGTAAATATGACAAAAATAATTTCYGTAGTAAAAATCTTTATATGAAGTATATTCATCCTGAAATCAGAATAAATAAAGATCTTAATAAAGAATGCATAACAGGATATGGAGGTGGAATTTAAAGAAGTGTGTACACTGACTGAGTACACCTGTGAACACTTAATTACATGACAGGATATGGTAATTGCTGTGTTCAAACTTTAACACATAACAAAGTTTAATCCATAAACAGATTATGGAAATTATGAAATGTTAAAATTTTTAACTTTTTGTTGTAATCTTGTTGGAGGAGGGTACTTCATATTTGATTTGTGAGTTTTTATATTTGTTTTTGCCAGTGTGTGTATGTGTGGTGTGTGCTCAGTTGTTTTGTTATCAAATTGTGAACTAACAGATATATTTGAAACGCTCAGAAAGGAATGTACTTCTACAAGATAGCTGCCAAAGYCAACTGATCTTAACTGACACAAAAATGGCCATAGCTCCCTCACGTCTACAGATAATGAGCTTAAATTTGATGTGGTGATGGCTGAGAGTCATTCCCAACCCATACACTGAGGGTTAACAGATTGTGCATCATCTCACTATAAGTCAGAACTTGCATAACTGTATTTTTATGTTTTGATGACATGAAAGGCATGTTAGATTTTAACAAAAAAATGATGTTTAGGTCACGTACACTTTTTAAAAAAAATTCTGCCTTATTTGGGGGTCTTCATTTTTTTTAAACAGGTGAGGATTTTTCGGTGGCTTGTTTCCAAGGGCAGTCCTCATCAATCAGCTGCACATGTGCTCATCCAGCTGAAGGGGTTAATATTGTCCAGAAAACCACAATGCTGGCTGTGCCAGCTTAAAATTAAACGTTCAGTCACTTGCTTATCATCGTCATTCACTTACTTCATGCACCTGTTGAATTCCCATCATCCAGAGAAGTGACGGGAGTCTTCCTGCTCTCCTGCCGCAGAGCTGAGGTGAGACAGAGTGGTCTTTGTCTGCTCTCAGCCTGAGCTCTGCTCTCGTTGCCCGCCACCTTACAGTGTAATGTCTGAAACAACTCAACCTCATACAGAGTTTGAAAATCAAAGATGACATCGTACTTGCTAAGTTCTTTCAGATGATGCTCAAAAATGGGCATCGCAGCTGCTGACAAACCTGTCCAAACAGTGACCAGTAAAAAGTATTTGACAAACAGCATGAAGCCCTTGCCACACACCAACAATGATTAATGATTTAATAAGGTCTGGCTTAGAAACAAAAGTAGCTTTATTAGGCCGATTGTGTCAGTTTATTCTGTTGCGCTGGCTCACAGTGKGGAGCTCAGCCATTTCTGCTGTGGGAAGGACACATTGATGGAAAGCAGTAGGGTTTTTGAAAATTGTGGTAAAAAGCATGTATAAAACTATGGTTTAAACCAGGCCCTGTCCTTCACTTTGCTTCGTACAAGGGTCTGGACTTGCTGCATAGAGAATTTATTTCTTGCAGGAGGTGTGGCCTCTGCTGAAGCATGTGTGTGTTGTCGGTGTGAAGAAGGCTAAGCTAAGAAGCTAACCGGAAATCATGTGTGCTGTAAACAACCCTACTGAGAGGAGAAAGTACCGAGTCAAACGAGACATCTGTAAATGAGAGCTGCTGCTTTGTCAGATAAATTTAATTTAATTTGGAAGCCTTATCAACACGGACTGGTTTCATTCTCTTCCTCCACTGCCGTATGCTAAAATAACTAGCAGACACTGCGCAGAACATCGACGTTGTTCAAAACTCCACCATCTGTTCTCTGATAGGTCCAGGTAAAATAAACTACAAATAGACCTGCGCAGAAAATTGACATTCTCTTCTCTGATTGGCCCGGCTAAAAATCTGCCAGCAAAATCCATCTCAATGGGAGAAGTCCCAGACGGAGCAGTGAAGGGAAACTAGAATTGAGCGGAGCTACGTAGGAACGCAAGGGCCAGGCTAGTATAAAACCAAAATGCAGCGTTCTTTACTTTTACATAGGACTTCAACATTTTGTCTTGCAAAATTAATTTGGATTTTTTTTTGGCAACAATGAAATCCCTCTTCTTGTGAAGGTCTTTCTGCAGTTRTCTTGTACAGTCAGTGACAAAGAGTAATCCCTTTGTTTCAAGGCACTCATTTAAACTGATAACCACAAAAAACGAGTCGTTTCCTGATGAGATGCTGATGTAAAATGATCACCACAGAGAGARCTTGTTTTCAARGCTTCAACAATGTTCACACCCAACTTCYCAATGCTTCTCCCACAATTTAACTTGTTTAGATGAATTATTGTGCTCACAAATGTTTTGGCTCACGTCCCCATGACATCATCCTGCTTACATATGTACAGTACWGTACACTCACTGCTAAGCACCTCTTAAATGGTTTGTAGGCCACCAAGCATTTAAATGAGTGACTAAGACAGACTCGTATTGCACTTTTATTACCAAAACATCCTCTAAAATGGTAATTGGAACCAAAGAAACCAAAATGATTCTCTACAGCTGACTCGATTTCTCCTCAAAGCAGGGAATTCATTATGTGATTATCTTAACTTCCATTTGGTTAAGGGCCAAACGATCATCGAGTTAAGCATAATAGTCTTGTGTAGGATTAGCAGCTGCTTGCAGTRATAAGTGTGTCTCTCTCACCCATTTCTGTTGTGGATCAAGTACAGTGAGAAAAATAACTCCCATGGGAATTTTACCATAAAGAACCAAACTGTGTACGGGATGCTTTGATTTTCTTATCTTACTTTGTGTTCTAGCTAGTCACCCTGTTTCTGGTTCATTGTTTGTTTTTACACCCCACGCTTTGACATACAGTATAGTTTCTATGTTCACATACACAAAGCTACTGGGACCAATGTGCTGGTGTTGCACTGTTTTTTAAATAAGATATCAACTAATGAGTAAAAAGTAAACTTTTGGGCTGAAGAATCTTGAAATGAATGCCAGATAATATGTTTCTGTGAGCTGCTTTGTTGTTTCTGTACAGTAGCTTGTTGCTCCTAAACTCATTCAACAAATGTGATGTTTTTTTCCAGTCTTATCAGTTTAGTTCTAATCTTTAAAAAAACAAATATTGTAAATGCAGAAACAAAAAGTCTATCTGATATGTTGTTTCTTTTAACAGCCTGTGTGTCACACTCAAGACCCATGGGCCAAATGTGGTCAGTGGGACAACCCCCCCTTAACTTTATATAAAAACTGATTTTTAAATCAATGGTAAACTTTAAATTTGATGATTTGATGCAACAAAATAAACAAAATATAATACTTGTCCTGCCCCTGAGATGTTGGCTTGGATGAGATGTAACTATATGAGATGAGAAACAGGGCATTCGTCAAAGTTAAACAAGTAACGTCAAAGTTAACAACAACTGGACCTTAGAGGGCCACCATAATGCTCACGTAGTCCTTGACAAAATTAGTCTGACACCCCTGGTTCAAGGTGTGACTGGAACTTTATTCCTAGTGAAAATGCAAATTATGAGTTTTTTTTTTCAGACAATGCCACACATTGTGCATTTTCWTCTTTTCAAATCTGTCTGAAGATCTGAGGATTTGCGATTGAAATCAGTTCTCTTATCGCTGCTTCCCTCCTTTGACCTTTCACTAAGATTGAAAGGRTTGGCTGCAGTGATCTGGACCTCCTCACTTGAGTCCAAAGGATCAAGGTTCACGTCCGTCAAGAGGCAACTTCATTTTCCCACATGTTCCACTCTAAACAGGGACTGAGCTCACAAACACACACACAMCACGAGCTCGTTTCCCCAAACCTCAGGAAATCACAGCAAGCTGTTTTTTCTCTCCCCGTGACACAGGTTTGGGTTTTGCTTGACACTTCAATTATACAACTTATTTCACACCGTTATTTATTAAATGACTTCTCTCTTGGCAATTCTCTGAAGAGTAATTTTGTAATCTTGATATGTACCATTTGGGTGTATTTGTGTATTTATACAGGAGCGCACATTGTTGTCAAACATTGAGTAGATGCAGGTTTTCTCTTCTGATTCCGAAGCAGGGAGGTCCAACCTGTATTTCATTGCGATATGCCTAAAAGCAGAGCAGCACTGGCTTTTAAACTGCTTAGTCACACAATTTGTACAGGTCAAGGAAGTTTAATGCATCTTTTATTCTGTCTGTGGTGGCATGGGTCCGGAGGCAGACCACCTTTTATGGGTCATGTGATACACGGGCCATCATGGGGCCCAGTGCAGCGACTCACCAGGATCAAACACTCTTTCACTAACTCTGTGACTCTGTGATTTATAGACGCTTGAAGGCAGGACTTGGCTGCACATACAGTAGAAGTGTTTTACGCCAACTGAGTTTCAGATTTTACCTCAGTGACGACTTTGTTTAGAATGCAAAGCAATAAAACGATTAACCATGATTTAAAACACTGAAGTCAGGAGACAACCCCCAGCTGAACTGGTTACTTTAACTGTTAGCTCATAATTTTTTGATGTTGGTTTTTTTTGAAATGTGACCAATTATTATCTTACTTGTTGTGGATAGCTCTTTGAACGGCCTCAGTTGAAATAAATTAAGTTTATTTCTGACTGGACTTATGAACCAACTAGTCTGAGCACTACAGGCCCAAGACTAAAGTTGGATCACTATAATGAAAACTAAATGTTTACTAAACAGCATTTGAGTGAACAGCTCTGATATACTTTTTAAAACTTGTTAAATTTAGTAATTAAAACAAGGCAAATTGGTTCTTTCTTGTTGTAAAGATATGAACAATTCACTTTATTCTTGGCCATATAGAATTAGTGTTTAGTTTGTCAATCTTGTCGAAATCAACTATTTCTCTAGCTGATGACATTAAAAAATTGATGTACAGCAGGGAAATTATTTATTGTTCATAATCTTTCCTCTAAACCAAACTTTAAAAGCTCTGGCCTAACAATCACTTTAGACTGCAAGAAGTTTAAAAAAGTTATTAGTTCTGCAGTTTTTTACTGCCTTTTTTTAAACAGTTTCCTTAGTTTGTTTTTGYCAGATTCTTAGACTGCACATTTATTTTCTCTCCCTTCCCAAACTGGTATTTTGCTTTAAATGGCACATTTAAAACAAATATTTTAAAGTWTTTTTTGTCTGATTTTGCTGCTGCTTTCATTGCCTCCCTTTTCTCTCACATTCTGGCTGTTTAGACCTGCCCAGCCTTGCAGAGGACAGATGTGCCATGGTTGCTGCTGGGCCCTGCTGATTACAATGTTCACAGGTATTGAAGAGGCATCTATGGCTGTTTACAAGAGCCCTCAAGCCTCAGGGCCAGGCTGTTCTCTCAGAGACTTTTCACCTCTGCTTTGCCTGTTGCCTCAGCTGGCTTCTGACATTGGTAATGGTTTAGAACAATTAGTTTGTTTCTCTATCCAGTGTGCACCAACTGGCATTTCAGCTTGGACTTGGGAGTCGAATGTTCATCTCTGAACACTAATTCTTTCTAAAATGTGGCAACAACATAAATCTATGACAAAACACAAAATCTTGAATTGGACTGATTCCAAAAGTCAATCATTAGACCATCCATCCATCCATCCATCCATCCATCCATCCATCCATCCATCCATCCATCCATCCATCCATCCATCCATCCATCCATNCATCCATCCATCCATCCATCCATCCATCCATCCATCCATCCATCCATCCATCCATCCATCCATTGATCCATCCATCCATCCATCCATCCATCCATGCATCCATGCATATTTAGATTTAGTGTTTTTAACGCAACATTGTTTTATTAATTTAGTCATTTGTTATATTTCTTGTATATATTCTTTTCTCATAATGTTGCTTCTTAAATGTGAATTTACCCTCCTGATGATCAGTAAAGCTACCAGCATATTTTTGCTCCTTAAATTTAAAGGCCCTGTCACACTATAACGTTTTAGACAATTTATGCCAACTATAAATTTTTTATGTCTAAATTACTAACAMTTTTTTTTAATTTGGTCAGTTTGATTTTTTAAAAATACGTCTTCAACGCAGATTTCTTTAAAGTTTTCAAATAAGTTGTGTGACAGGGCTTTTAGCTCGCGTTCTGCTTATTTTAGCTTTAGGAACTAAATTTTATCCTATTCAAAACATTTTATAGACTAAATCACGTAAAAAAAGATTTCAGCGATTTTATTTATTTTTTTGCATTGCATTTTTGTAGAATATTACGCTGTACAAAAAGGATTGTTCCTGTCACAGCTCGATAGGATGAGAAGCGCYTCTCACAGCCACGTGGTTAAATGACCACCCCCAACCCCCCGCTCCTCCTCCCGAAGGTGTTTCATTCACTTTTTTTTCTTAAATGGGCTCCTCCTCTCAGACGAAGTTACAACGTGGGTTTGGGCAAAACACTTCACCGGACTCTGACGCTTCAGCTCAGAATTAGGCTCACCCTGGAGTGGGACCCTTCAGCTGAGGAGCATCAAGAAGATAGCCTACTCACTGGGAAGAAGCTGAAAGCTGCCTCTGTCAATTTGGAGTGGAACTGTGTGGGCACGATTTTACGCACGCATGTTACGCGCTGGGACCACCTCAGTTTTAGGATTGTAAACATTTGCACGTTTTTAATGGAATAAATCACGTTTAAACCGTAAGTATTTGGGGGTCTCCCCCTCTWCTTGTAACCCCTTTTTATGTATTGTGTCTTTGAGCCAAAGTTGGAGCATCACTGTTCAGCATGTAATGTTTTATTGTGATAGTAAAGAACAACCTGATAATTGGGCAAATCAGACCGTGCAACTTATCAGTTTACAAGATCCACCCAGTGATGCGCGCTGTCCTCAGATAACCGAGAAAAGTGGCTTGAAGCTTGCTGTGCTATTTTTATTTATTTAGTTATCTTGCTGAATGAAGTGATAAGATCATTATTATTATACATTCTGCTCATAAATAAAACAGTCATTGTTTCTGAAGCTGCCAAAGAGATAATATGTACCAAAAACTGGCTGTCAGTTCTGTAATTAAGTGAGGATGACATTTAGACACAGCAAGCATCCCATCTCAATGGAGCACAGGAAGAGCCTCATATAAAATGAAATAAATCTTCATCCAATTATATGCATATGTGATGTTGAAGTAGATGACCTACTTTTAAGGACTTTAMTATTCAAACATATAGCTTTTAATACTTGATCAGACTTTCTGCACATGTTCTCCAACAGCCACTGTTTTTAGTCCATTTTATTTAGTGTTTTTTTAATGACATGCATCCACAGACTTTATTTTCTATATATGTCCTGATTATTTTGTAATAATAAGCTTTTGCTGCTAATTGCTATTTGATGAGGAGCTCCCAAAGTTTTCATCTCCCTCTGAGACTCTGGTGTTTATACAGTGGGGTGCTAATGAGGGCAAGGGGCTTGCTGCTCCTGTCCTCCTGTCTCCAGAACCTCTAAAAGGATGACCCCACAGGAAGTTTTACCTCCCAACTCTACCACCCACATGTTCCTGGAAAACATGCCTGAATGGCTCAATTTTTGAACGTTTTTGTCTTAAATGCTTGTAGACATTCAAAGTTTCATGCCAAAGTATTAGATTGTCTTAAGAAGTGACAGAGTTTTAGTGGCTCCGCTCCAACCATTTGCGCAATGCAATAACGTGATGCCTTGCATATTCTGTTACATAGATATCCGAAACAGTTAATGTTTCACAGAATTTGAGCTCAATATYAGTAAAATTCATTAAGTCGTAGCTGCTTATGTATAGGCTGCAGTTGGTTTTTGTCATTTTGAATTGAGTTTCTCCAAAGGTCAAGGACTTAAAATGAATTGCCAATCATTTCTTTCTGAGAATTTCAGTAACATTTTTCCAGTGGTTCATTAAAATATTATATGTTGCCCAATTTGTATTTCTTTTTTTCCTTAATCCCACATTAATCATACTCTAATATTTATATGCATACACGTCACTTTTAAAAGGGCAGCACARCAGCTCAGTTGTTGTTGTTGTTGTTGGTTATTTATTTAAGAAGGGACAGTGCATATTACAGAAAATGCCAGAATTAGCCATGGAGGCTAGTTTTCATCTGTAGTCCCTCAAGGTCCTATGGATATAATACATATAAAACAACAAGTTACTTTCATTAAAGAGAAGAAAAAGTACAAATCCTAAAAATATGATAAAAAAGCATGAATCAAAATAATAAAAATCCATTTAGCACAACAACAATTCAAGGCAATACATTAAAAATACAAAATGGATAAAAGAATCCCATAGTCAGTGTCTACACAGTTGATTATCCAGGAGCCATGATTTTAAGGCATTTGMGAATAATTTGAAGGATCCACTGTGGTTAGCACTGACACCTCACAGCAAGAAGGTCCTGGGTTCAATTCCCGGTTTGGACTTGGTGGTTTTTCTGTGCGGAGTTTGCATGTTCTCCTCGTGCGTGTGTGTGTTTTTTTTCCAGGTACTCTGGTTTCCTCCACACCCCAAAAACATGTACAAGAGGTTACTTTCAGGCCCAAGTCTCCCCTGAAAAAGAGATCTGCAATCTCAATGAAATTTGCCTGGTTAAACAACGGTTAAAAAAAAATGCAATAAGAAAAATGAACAGAATGGCTTACACGTTGTTTTCTAATTTATTTTGTTCTGCTTTGTTTTCTTCCCAACAGATGATTCTAAATTTTAAGCACATCCTGTGTTTGTGTTATCTGTGTGGAGCTGCAACAGGTCAGTCTTCTACCTTCACTTTTCTCTGTTTGTGGTCCCCTATGTTCTTCCTCCCAGCTCTCTCTCTCTCTCTCTCTCTCTCTCTCTCTCTCTCTCTCTCTCTCTCTCTCTCTCTCTCT